CTATTTTCTCCTCTAATACTTTAGTTTGTTTACCTTTATTGGGCATGTAGCATCATTTAGCGCAAATAAGAGGCGCGCTTTAAGGTTACTGCAAACAGCACAACCTCCTTGGAAGTTAGTGTCTTATGTGAGCTACATGTGTGTCTTGTACTTGTGGGTGATAGTTACATGGGCACATTACATGCAAAAAAGATACAGTACTTTTAGAATTAAAAAAATGAAATTATTTAAAAAAAAAAAATCAGCAAAAACCAAATACACCTACTATGATACAGAGCTTAATGGTCGGCTGGAGTTAGGTCCAGCCTTACTCCTCTACATTATAAGAGGGAGCTAACATAGGAAGGGGCAGATGATCATAGAAGAAACATATGAAGGACAAAGTTAAGGTTATGTTTGGGGGTGAACAGTGGAAAATTCCAGTAGCAGTTAAGAGATGAAAAGATACCAAAATTCAAGAAACTGGTCTGTTCAAACACAAAAGCCTAGGTCTTTCTGGCAAAAGTATCCCCATCTTCCAAAACTTAGAGAGCAATGGGAAACATCTACAACAGATTACATATTCACAACATGCACACAGCTTGTATCTGACTAAAATCCGTGCACAGGAAAGCTGCTTCCATACCAACCTATGTTCCAGCCACCCATGTTGAGCCCCGGGTCTGACATACTGGAGCAGGAACCAGAGGAAGTGAAGCTTGGCTACAGATGGGAAGAGAAGAACGAAGAGGAGGAGCATCAAAGTACCATTCTGGATGGAAATTTCCATTCAGGAACAATGAGACACAAACCAACCAGGAAACCACAAACTTACATATCGACTATGGGACACAGCAGAATTGGAAGAGCGGTTGGGAAAAGGCCCGAAGGGGTTTGGGATCCCCTGAGGCCTAGACTGGGCTTCAAATACACTGCAGAGCATAGCCAATGTTTGAACATCCCGAAGTTGAGAGTAATGGGCCAACCTGAAAAAAAAAAAGGATGAGAAGAAAGAAAACAAGTGAAGATAACGGATGGAGAACCAATAACTACAATTATGGTGGGCTGTTGCCATGGGGGTTAAAAGGAAGGATTTTCAATTCTTTCTCAAAAATCCTGGGGCTTTTTAACAAGTGGCTGGGTTAAATTTGTTTCAGAATAAAATGTATCAGAGTATTACCAACAACCTACATCGGCCAACCCAATGCTGGCATTGAGTCAAAGGCTCAAACTTTAGTATCACTTCAACTCGAACTAAGTAGGCTAACTACGTGATGCAACACATGCTTTCTCAGCTTCCCATCTCCAAGGAAGATCACATTGGTTTTTGAGGGGTCTCTATAGACTTTGTTCTTGCAATCTAAAGCTACGTGAAGGTTGCCAAAAGTCAACAGACTAGAGAATTATGAATCTCAGCTATAAAAGAAGAACAATTAATATTTTTACCTTTTAGGTACTCAGATCCCCTTCGTTCCTGTCACAGGCTCAGTATGCTGGAATGTGAGGTAGAGCTCAGAAGGAGTATCACTACCTTCCTACCACCCCACATTTAATATTTTAAAAAGCGGTTCCACACTTGGTCTCTCATTGGTAGGAAGAACACGTATTATCATCCCTGTGTTAACAATTAGGCAACTAAAGCATGAGCACTTGTCCAGGGTTTGCTCTCAAATCAGCAGCAAAGCAAGCTCCAAGCCCATGGTGTAGAGTTCTCTCGTCAGGACCTGGGCCTCGCTATGATGAGGGTTTGACTTAGGTGGATATCCTTTTTTGTATATTTTGAGTATGTGACATTTTGGTGTAATAAATCCAGCACACGTTGAGTGTTTTCAGCAGACTGACAACCTTGGTGTAAACTTGACAGAAATTACACAATAGGGAGAAAGTGCCCTGGTCTTTGGGAAACGGGAAAACCACAACATAATTCTCTAATACACTCTCAGGGGCTAGGCCCTATGGAACCCAATAAAAAAAGGTATCATCTTAAGAGCTTAGACTGTATTCATACTGATGTCACTCAGGACAGATCAGTCTCCAGGGTTTCAAATTCTTGTTGTAAACAATTAATGTAATATAGTTCCTTTTGTTATGTGAAGTTTACTTGTACACAGAAATGGTTTCAGCACTAAAATGAAAGATTCACCTTCTTCCTCTCAATCCTAAGACCTCTGCATCTTTCTTTTAGACAACAACACTTAATTTATAGACCCAAAGTTGATATCACTCATTTTCCCCACTTTTAGCTCCCCAAACCTACAGAGACTCCAGCAGCTGTCTCCCGAATGGATGCCGAGCCCACGGTGTTTCCAAATCTGGATCAGACTTCGGACCAAGGCAAAGATCCGTAGCTACTGTAGCCAGTGACCAAACCTGGACAGACCAAAGAGAAATATGGACACTCAGACCAGAAAGGATAGGAACTCCATCTAGAGCCTGAAGCCTTAAAACTCTGAGGGTCATAAGCTGGAAGCTTAAGGAAATGCGGAACTTTAGGCCCCACTTCAGATTTACTGAATCACCATTTGCACTTTAACAAGATCTTCAGGGAACTTGGATAAGAAACAATAGGCTAACAACCCTTTATGTTAAGCAGACTCCAGAGAAATAACACAGCGCAGTAACAGTAATGTCAATGGGCCATCTATTTAATGTCTACACTCAATTCACTGGTGAACTTGAATGGGGGAAGGGAGAAGTACCTCTATAACTTTTAAGATCTGTGTTTCTTCACCCAGATAATGAACAACTTAGTTGCCTTCATTACAAAAGTTTCAGTATTCTCTCTGAAGCTTAAGAAAAACAGGCCAAGACAAGATAGACTTGCCTTTCTTTTTGGTGACACTTAATCTGGGGAGTACCTCCAAACTTGAAATCTCATGAGGTTTGGAGTCACCAGGCAACAACACTTGTACACTAAGTGTCTATTAAATGCTAAATGCTATTAAATATTAAATACACTGTGCTATAAAGAAAGCCCCGCCCCCCCAATGCCTTTAAATAGCTAAATCCTAATTTTGGAAAATCTTTCTTCACAGCAACTCATCACTGCATGCCCACTAGCTAAAACTCATTATACTTGACTCTGTAAAATGTTAGAAAGGAAGATGTGGACTTTGAATCAAGTTGTTTCTAAATGAAGAGGAACGAATGAGCAAACAAATATAATGAAAGACAGGGAGCGAAACATATCAGCCCCACAGAATCAATTAAATTATGTGGAACTAACATGCTTAAATAACATGCAAACATATTGGTTAACATGAGGTCCACATTCATCCCTATAATCCAGGACGATGGTTTTCTGGAACAGGATGTTTGTTACTTTGACTGACAATCTAGCCATGCTGTTTGCTCACCTGCACTACCCATTTCCTAAATGTCTTCAACAGAAAGACTGCCACATGGGCTAACTTCTCTAATTCTTTGTGAAAGAGTAGACACACTTATCTTTATCATGTGCATAAAGAACCTGTGTGGCGCTGCAGAATAATGCGCTGAACCATATGGTCAGCAGTTCAAACCAACCAGTCACTCCTCGGAAACCCTATACAGGGCCGCTAGGGGTCGGAACCAACTTGATGGCACTTATTAACAACAATTCTTCAAGAATTTTCACAGGTGTCATTTCTCTGTCCCATCAAACAGTACCATACTAGAAATGCTGATGGTAATGACAAGAAC